AGGAGAATAAACACACTATGTCATGTGAATGTAATATGGAGACAACATATATACTTGTTACAAGTACATATGGTAATTCAAACTTTGGTACAAATTGAGAAGGTATGTTATGTGTGTATTGTCCCTTTCTTAGAAAAATAACAAACTAATATATTGCAGGTTTCAACCTAATAACATAAAAAGGTAAATATTTATCACATAAGATTTAATTGTTCAAATTTGGCAGGTTACCGGAATATCTAATTATTTCGCATTTACATTTTACAATAAAGAAGTCATTTATATAGGTTGATTGTTCATTTATTTATTTATATTTATCACAATGTGATTTTAATATAACTCCTACCACATATTTTATTTTTGTGGGACTCACGTGCAAAACACGTGTCCAATATATAAATATGTACATAGTCGGAGCAAATCTTGAAGGACGATAAACAATACAATACAAAGATATAATAAATCAACATGGTTTGAACAATTCATTAGTAAAAAGAGATCAGAATATGAAATCCGAGAAAAGGATTAGCTAATTATGAAAGAGATACCACTTATGACAAGTGTTTTGCTCTTCCTTCAAGTAAAACGAATCCAAATATGATAAGAAAACCAAAACAAATACCGAACATCAACAACTCATATAAAAGGAACTAAAACCAAACTATAGGAAAAGTATAAAAAAGAAGTTTCAACCTTGAGAAATTAACTTAAGCATAGAGAAACTTACATGGCGAAATGAACGTAATTTGGAGATAACTTACATGGGCATTGAATAATGAAGTGAAGTTTAGTAGAAGGAATATGTATATGTGTGTTCAATTTTTTCTGTATAAGAAAGTTCCTAGATATTGCTATGAAAAGGCAGTCATCTTATTGAGTTAATAGAAAGGTGGACTTTGTCTTTTCTTCAGAAAACTGCAAAGACTTAGGTGGGAGAAAAGTCACAGGTCAATGAACACATCTAGCAAAGATATTATTTCTTCAGCCACCAGTGGATGTGGTGCAGCGGATGTGGTTACTTTATCCTTAATTAAAAGGTCTTGAGTTCAAGTCTTAATTAAGTATGCAAGCATCCTTAAAAGGTCTCGAGTTCAATTTTGGTGATTTTTCCAAAACTCAATTCTTCGATTCGGTGTTCGATGTAACGGTCTCGATATTTCGGTATATCGAAGAACTGAAAGTATTTTTTATTTTAAAAAAGTATATATACATATATTGGGGTTTCCTTAACCAAAAACCAAAGTCTAACTAGCATTTAAACCATTCATAAACAAATCAATGTTTTTAAATATCACTTAACATGGTTTTACTTTTTTAAGTATCTTATACATTGATAAGGGGTCTCTTTTTATTTTTTCATTTGCACAGAAAAATCGTTTTAAAAACGTACCTCACCAAACCGAATTAAAGTTGAAATTATTGGATCGAACCGAACTAATTTAATTCGGTATTTGATATACACTTTTTCAAAATCAAAATTTAATAAAATTGAATCGAAAAACCGCACGCCCATCCCGAAGGGTGGGTTTTTTTTTTTTACAACCTTCTCTTTGTTGTTTAATAAAAAATGGGGTTTTATATATGGGGCCTTTGTGCAAATTTTAAAATGTTGGGGCTCTTTCAAGAATAGCTTTTAGATAATTATTTACACTAAGCATCAAAAGTGTCCCTCTTACTTAATAATTAAATGAAATAATTATGATCCTAAATACTTTGACCAATTAATTTACAAAATACATAAATTATGTATAAATTAGATGACCTAGCTATTCATATTCATAACTTTCCTTAATTAAGACTTATGTCTTTTTTTTTCTATTGCAAAAGTTTTTTTTTTAAAAAAAAAAAGGGAAAACTATACGAATTGAACCCATTAGGTGAAGTATTTATCTAAATTGGATCAAACTCAATATTTTTACCTTGATTGGATCCACGACCCAAACTATTTACCCGACTGCCTCCTTGTTCTATTCACTGAACCAATGTTTCTTCATTCTTACTTTGATGGTATCAAGCAATAATTGAACAGTTTTTCACTGAAACACGACATATTTCTCCTTGATGCCATCAGAATATATATATATATATATATATATATACTCTTATGTATCAAGGAATAACTGAATAGTGTTTTCACTGAATCGTTGTTTCTTCCTTTTTGAAATCATCAATATATATATATATATATATATATATTGATGGTACTAAGCAGTAAACATGCATTAGTAGTTAACATAGAAGGTATGAAAGTAAAATAATAGCCACTTGTAAATAGTTTTTCTTTTTGGGTACAAGTGTTCTTTTCCCAAAGTCAATAATCCTCCTTAGTTTTAAAGCCCAAAGAAATATAGTATTGATAGTAGAGTAAATTTTAGGTTTAGCAAACATAAAAATCATATTTGTATCAAGGAATAACTGAATAGTGTTTTCACTGAATCGTTGTTTCTTCCTTTTTGAAATCATCAAAATATATATATATATATTGATGGTACTAAGCAGTAAACATGCATTAGTAGTTAACATAGAAGGTATGAAAGTAAAATAATAGCCACTTGTAAATAGTTTTTCTTTTTGGGTACAAGTCTTTTCCCAAAGTCAATAATCCTCCTTAGTTTTAAAGCCCAAAGAAATATAGTATTGATAGTAGAGTAAATTTTAGGTTTAGCAAACATAAAAATCATATTTGTGTGTTATAGCTATAGTTTGTATAATTGCGCTCCATAGCAAACTTTATGTTTGCTATGGCTAATAATCTGTATATTTCGGTATACATATACATAAAAAAATATGTGTTTGGGTCTATTTATATATTTCGGTATACAAATGGATCCTGCATTTGTATATTTCGGTATACAAATGGGATGACAAAAAACATGGAATGTTTGCTGCGAATTACAAATAAAAAAATTTATGGCTATAACATTTAATTTGAATTAATAGTTTGCTATTTCATACAATTTTCCCTTGATAGTAGCCCACGAAATACTGAAGTAGCCCAAAGAAATATAATATTGATAGTAGCCCACAATATTTAAACAATAAAGTTCATAAAAAAAATGATCACGTCATATTTGAATTGAATATTCAAATGATCCTTTTTTCCACAAAAAAATGAATATTATAGGAGTACTAGAATAACATAAATGAATTGTTTAACAATATATATATACCTTAGACGACTCTTTCGAAAAAGAAAGTCAGCAAGTCAAATGACATCTAATAATGGGAAAAGTTGATGATTTTAATGAAGTATAGAATAACATAAATGAATTTAATGAAATTTTTTTTCAATTCTCGTTAAGTTATCACGTGAAATAAAATAGGTTAACTTGTAACATTAAAGAGTTAGGAGCGCATAAAATAACACAAATGTGACTCCTTATTTAAATCCCGAAATCTCTAATTATAGAAAAGAGTAATTTCAAAGACCTCTCTTCATGTTTCGCTTTATAACACTGACTAGAGATCCCCAGTAGCTAGGAACTTCAGTGCTATGAAAAGGCAGCCCATTTTGCGTTGACTTGTGACTTGTGTCTAAAGTCTAAATCAATGGTCTGCCTTTTCATAGCAGTATCTAGAGATCCCCAGTAGCTAGGAACTTTCTTAAACAGAAATATTGAACACATATACATACTACTTGTCCCAAACTTCACTACATTATTCAATTCACATGCAATTTAGCTTCAAATTATGTTCATTTGACCATGTAAGTTTCTCTCTGCTTAAGTTAATTTTCTCAAGGTTCAAACTTCTCTTTGTAAGTTATTGTTGATTTTTATTATACTTTTTCTGTAGTTTTGGTTTATGTTCCTATTATATCAGTTCTTGATGTTAGGTACTTCCTTTGTCTCAATTTATATGACTCAATTTCCCTTTTAATTAGTCAAAAAAAAAAAAAAATCACGCATTTCTATTTCTATATTTAGTAACTTTTTAGTAACAATATTTATTTTATCCTTAATGAAATGATTTTTAGTCATACAAAGTTAAATATATATGACTTATTTCAGGCCAGAAGTTTCAAAAGTCTTTCGTTCTTGAATTTGTGTCAAGTCCAATTACATCACATAAATTGAGACAGAAATTGTATTTATCGTGATTTTCTTACCATATTTGGATTCGTTTTTTGGCAAAACACTTGTCACAAGTGGTATCCCTTTCATAATTGGCCAATCCTTTACTTGGAAGAAAAGGTTTTGCATTTTTGTAAATTGAGGATTCTTCCTTCTCGTTTCATATCATATCATGGAGAACTATTCTTTCTTTTTTACTAGCTAGTGAATTGATCATATGTAGGTTAATTGTCCAAACCATGTTAATTTATAACAACTCTGTATTGTCTTGTTTATCGTTTTTCAAGATTTACTCCGACTGACATCTGGTTATTTCGATCCCAACACTTGAAACTGCTATATGTTCTAATATCAGAAGTTCATGTTGCATGAAGCACAAAGTTCTCTTGATTTTTTGGTAGAAAAGAATAAGTTTAAGTATCCCTGGATAAACCATGCATTATCTTCAATAATTTCTCATTTTTCTAGTACTTGAACGATAATTACAACAACTATTACTATGCCTCAGTCCCGAACAAGTTGGGGGTACTTGAACTGTAATTACAACTTCAAATTTTGTACTAGACTTTCACATTATATTCAATGTCTAGTTGTTCAACTTTATACAAGTTTAAATACCTACTTGTACACATTCAAAGTTGGAAGGAACAGATGCAAGCTAAAGCCAAGTTAGATGACATGTTTATATATTATTAACTCAAAATAGTAAATTAATCAATGAAAAAAACAAGATAGGACCTCAACAGGAATTGAAGAACAGAGAATCTTAGACTCTAACTTGATATTTCTTGTAAGTTTAGATTTGCATGAATCCTTTTGATTGGTTTTCATATACTTAGGTTTGAGGACCGGAAGTCGGAACAATCATCCTTCAGCATTGACCATAAAAGTTCGTCGACTAATAGGCCATTTCATGTCAGAAAACCATCAAGTAGCTCGTTGATGAGAAGCGTTAAAAGAAGGATTGAGAGGGGTTCTGAAAGAATTAGTAGGAGAAAACCAGTTCTCGTCCATCGTGTAACAAAAGATCAATCTGTTGCATCAAACAAGAGAGTTCTTGATCCTCAGGGTCAATTTCTTCAGAAATGGAACAAAGTATTTATATTGGCTTGTATATTTGCGGTGTCACTTGATCCGTTATTCTTCTACATTCCTGTTATTGATGACAAAAATAAGTGCCTAGATTTGGACAAGACGTTAAAGATCACTGTTTGCGTTCTGCGTTCTATCACTGATCTTTTCTATATCTTTCACATTATCTTGAAATTTCGTACTGGCTTCATTGCTCCTTCTTCTCGAGTTTATGGAAGGGGTGAGTTGATTGAAGATTCCTCTGCTATAGCCAAGCGATATTTGTTATCGTATTTCATCGTTGACGTTGTAGCAGTCCTTCCACTCCCACAGGTTCGTGTCCTCGAAGCTTGTGTTTTTTAGCATTCTCTTAAGAGAGCATGATTTACCTTGTTTTGGTGCAGATTGTGATATGGATTATCGCTCCCAATGTGAATGGCCCCATTGCTCTGGCGACGAAAGAAATGTTGAAGATTGTAATTTTTGCTCAATGTGTTCCAAGATTTTTTAGAATTTATCCATTGTCCAAAGAAATAGAAAGGACTACAGGCTTCTTTAATGAAAGTGCATTGGGTGGAGCTGTTTTCAACATTTTCCTCTACATGTTGTACAGTAATGTAAGTTCCCTTTCAACAAATAGATGAATCAACATTACATAAAAGATAGAGATAATGATAAAAACACACACCAAAACTACTACTTTTTTGCGAGTTACACACCCTTAGTTGAGTAGATGATGATAGCTTAGGTAGGAAAAGGGATCAACTGATAGTTGGGGTGTGAAACTCCCGGAAAAAAAGCGATAAGTCAGATGTGTCTTTTACCATTATCTAGTTAGGGATATGGACATTTCATTCTTGAACAAAAATCTGCTTAAATAGGTGCAAATTAAATGTGTGATCTCAGGGAATTGGAGCCTTTTGGTATTTGTTCTCAATAGAACGCCAAGATACATGCTGGCGCAATGCGTGTGACAAGATCCCCAACTGTTCGTCAGACTACTTATATTGTGGAGGAAAAATGAATGGAAATGCTTTTTTACTGAACTCTTCTTGCCCTCTCCTGCAACAAGAAGATATAAAAGATCCAAATGAATTTGATTTTGGAATCGCACTCGATGCTCTTCAGTTTCAGGTTGTTGAGAAAAGAAAATTCCGGAGCAAACTCTTGTATTGCTTTTGGTGGGGGCTGAGAAACTTAAGGTGTGTTCACTTTTCTTATGGTAATAATACATTACATTTGGATTCTATTAGTTCCATTGAAGTAACGGAATCTAGCCAACTATAGGTCGTGATGTGCCTTGAGATGGCTTAAGTTACTCTGTCGAGTAACTTCCATAATTCTATAACTATTTCTTCTTACATGTTTCAGTTCTCTTGGCCAAAACCTTAAGACAAGCACCTTTGATGGAGATATTATCTTTGCCATCTTCATCTCAGTTATTGGGCTTGTCTTGTTTTCCTTGATTATTGGCAATATGCAGGTTAGCACACTCACCCTTTTATCAAACAATGTTCTAAAATGTTGCTCGGACTCTGCAAAAATGTCAAATCCTTCAAAAGCAGTGCATTTTTGGAGGGTACTGCTGCACTTAAGTTGGATAGTCCGGGCAATATAGGTTAAGAGAGAAAATTTTAGCATTGATAGGCATTGAGTTCCATTATTTTCCTCTTTTAAGTTTAACCTATCACAAAAACACTTAAAGTTGGAACTCTTTAGAATGAAGTTCCAGTAATTTCGTGTTGTTTTTTTTTTTTTGAAACAGAAATTTATGCAATCTAATCTGGTTAGAGTAGAAGAGATGAGAGCGAGAAGGCGGGATATCGAACTGTGGATGTCTCATCGCATGCTTCCTGACAATCTGAGAGAGCGAATAAGAAGACATGAACAGTACAAATGGCAAGAAACTAAGGGAGTTGAGGAAGATTCACTCATTCAAAATCTTCCTAGAGACTTGAGGAGAGATTTAAAGCGACATCTCTGTTGGTCTTTTCTCAAAAAAGTAAGTACTTATCACATTTATAACTATCCCTATCCAACTTCATCATGTTTTGTGGTGTTTTATCTAGTAAAGAAATATGAACCTTGAGCAATCAAAGAATGTTGCTCCCTTTCATTTTTATGATGACGTTTGACTAAACATGGACTAGTCCTAATTATGTCATCACATTTTTTTGGCTCTGAACATGTCATTAAGGTAAAATGGAAAGTTTATAGCAAAAGAATTCTGAAATATAGAAATGTGTTATTCTTTTCAAGAATAGATGGAGTATTAAATCTGAATGAAGCCTTATCAAACCACATTATTAATTTTCAATCAATCAATCAACTATACATCAAGCCCAAATTACTAGAAGAGAACCACATCAACTCTTGCAACAAAGAGATGTCCAATGCACTAAAGCTCCGGCTATGCAGGGTCCATGGAAGGGCCGGAATACAAGGGTCTATTGTACACAGCCTTACCCTGCATTTCTGTAAGAGGCTGTTTCCACAGCCTGGTCAGGCGCTACTTCCTTGGTGAAGTAGTATCTCTTCCACAGAACTGGAACAAGTCTCTCGTGGTTAAGACATAAGAAGGGAAGTTGTACCACTTCCTACTTTTTTCTTAGACGGTGTGTTGATAATCCTTAATTTCTCCTTATACCAGAGCAGCTCTGTTGGAGTAATTTATATTTGGTGAACGACACACTTTAATCATTTATGATGATGCCTCCAAACAAGCACTAAATCTTGCATTGATTTGGTATATTATGCAGGTTCCCATATTTGAGAAAATGGACAAACAATTACTGGACGCATTGTGTGACAGACTGAAACCAGCACTCTTCACAGATAAGAGCTTCATAATGCGAGAAGGCGATCCAGTAGAAGAAATGCACTTTCTAATGAGAGGTACACTGTTAACTATGACCACAAATGGTGGAAGGACTGGTTTTTTCAACTCTGTTCATCTCAAGGCTGGCGACTTCTGTGGAGATGAGCTTTTGACATGGGCTTTAGACCCTCATACTTCCTCCAGTAGTCTTCCAATTTCAACTAGAACAGTGCAGGCTGTAACTGATATAGAAGCTTTTGCACTCACTGCCGATGACCTCAAGTTTGTCGCCTTACAATTTAAACGTCTGCATAGCAAACAACTTCAGCATACTTTCAAGTAAGTTTTTTCAAGGCCTTGTTCCATTTCATAACAAGCTTCACTTTGCTTCAGACAACAAATTGGTATCAATTTCATGGTCTCTTTTCTAGTTGCTAACAAAGTAAAAAACACACCTTTCTCAACTATGCTTACATATCACAGAAAATAGTAAAAAACACCGGAAAATGCTTAGTCTAAACCCGGAAGGACAAGTAGATTGTCATTTCAAGAAGGTATTTAAATAATATCTGCGTGGCACCACTCGAAAAAAAAATTAAAACTCATGATGTACTTGGCTATTTCAGGTACTACTCACAACAATGGAGGACATGGGCTGCACGCTTTATACAAGTAGCATGGCGTCGACACTTCAGGAAAAAACTCAAGAAATCCTTAAGAGAGGAAGAAGATAAACTGCAGGTTGCATTAGCTAAAGCGAGCACAAATGCATCAAGTCTTGGAGCTACCATATATGCATCAAGGTTTGCAGCTAATGTACTACGCACCTTGCGACGCAACAACACAACTGGTACCAAATCATCTCCCACATTACCTTTACTGCTTCATAAACCAGCTGAACCAGATTTTAGTGAGAAAAAATGACTCATGAACTAGAAATGTTGGAATATGTTCATATTGGTGGAGTTACATTTACTTTATATTTTATAAAACAAATCTTTTGAGTAGCACATATGCTATATCTTGATTCATTAGGATTCTTGTACATAGAAACAAACTGTTCTGTTTCTATTAAAGTTTTTATTGAGTTCTGACTATTTTTGAAAATAAACCAAAAGTTACAATGACAGAATGATGGTCTTAATTGAACATGATAAAAGACCACCCTTTACATTCTTTTTGGATAATCTTTTAATTTCTGATTCTCTCGAAATATATCTTTATTATTGTAATGTATTGTATTGTATGGTAATATATTGTTTGTTGTATAATGTAGGACATTTTCAATAATACATCTGCCTTTCACACAATCGTATTGATTTACTAAAATTAGAGGAGGAAGAATTACCTCAAAATTCAAAAGTCCTCCTTAATTTAAAGCTCAAAGAAATATAATATTGACAGTAGCATATACGAAATACTATATGTTTAAATAATAAATTTCATAAAGAAATGATCACTTCATATATGAATTGGATATTCAAATGATATTTTTTTCCTAAGAAAGTGAAAATATAAAATAACATTATTGAGTTAAAGAGTAAAAAATATATTTATATTGTTCCATTTTTTTAGTTTCATAAGTAAATTATTGGAATGTGAATTTCATGCTTAAACTATCACTAATTAGTTTGAAAAACACACCTCAGTGGAACCTTGTCACATGGCATTCCACTTGGATAAAATATTTCACATTGACAAAATTGAATAAACTATTAAAAAGAGTGTTTTTAAAGTACTAAATCAAGTAGAGGGTGTTTTTTTTAGTTGTCAATAGTTTGGGGACAATGTTTTTTTGGTTGTCAATAATTTGGGGACTAAAAAAATAAAAAAATTCCTCGTTGTGTGCGTGCGCGCGCGCGTGTGAAACACCCACTCCCCCGCCCTCCATCGTTAAAGTAATAATTCACGTCAAATTTATGAGTCTTTTAATATTTACACTCAAATTAGAATGATATCTAAATTATTATTTGAAGACTGGGGGAGGGAATTACGATGAGAGGAAGTGGTGGAATGGGGTAAGAAAAATATTTTACATTTTATTTTATAAAAAAAAATATTTTTTTGGGGGGATAATAATACTGTAATCTTTAACTTTAACTAATACCAATAATTTATTAGTTTTTTGTTAAGGTGAAATGTTTATCCATATGGAGTGTGATGTTACCATTTTCTAAATAAAAAAAAGAGTGTAGTACCGTACACATCATGAAGAGAGTGTAATAAAAAGAGAAATGTGTTTCTCAAACTAATAAATAATAATTTATATGTATAACTCCAAAAAAGAGATAATTTAAATATATTTTTGACACTTATCTTTAACATTATTAGATTTGAAAATGGTTAACAATACTCTTTTGAAAAGCAGCAAGGAAAAGTGCATCCAATAATGGAAAAGGTATGTACATGGGCCCAACCATGTGCATGGGAAATTTCTTAGGGCTTGTTTGGAAATTATTGCATAATTACTAGGATGATTAATAGAGTCTGTTTGACATTACTTCTAATTAGAAATGTCTTATTCTTAGAAATATGTTTTTTAGATAGCTTTTTAGAAAAATGCTTTTGAAAAAATAATAATTTGTGTTTGGTTATTTTTAAGAGTCAAATTATGAAAAAAGACAAATATCAATATAATTTTAATATTAATATTATTTTATAGAGAGAAACTATTAAACATACTATTATAAAAAATGTAATAAAATTTTTATTTTCATTAAATTAAAATATACATAGACAAATTTAATCAATATTATACGTAAATAAACAAAAAATATTAATATAATATTAACATGATGATTTAAATATAATTAGAAATATTATATATATATATATATATATATATATATATATATATATTATTATCCTTATTTAGAAGTGAGAGTTGGAAAGGACCAACACTGCATTAATACTCTTGTACAACATGCATACAATTTTGTACATTAACTTTTGACTGCATTAATTAGTTGGACAACGTGCAAAAAGAGTTGTACATTAATAGAAGGACTAACACCAAGGACTAACATTGCAATTATTATTATTACTCATTACCTAGAAGGACTAACATTGCAATTATTATTATTACTCATTACTCCTTATTAGAATTATTATTATTACTCATTTGGCTCCTTATTAGAGTTGACACTTTAAATCACGAACACGACACTACCATGTTGTACACAAAGCATTTCAAATTGTACTATAAAATTAATTGTGCCTCATTAATTATACACGTGCCTTTCTACATATACAACAACCCACATGAAGAATTAATTTTCTGACAATTTTGGTTATATTTTTCTTTAAAATAATTATTGCCTCGATTTTTATTTTTATTTTTAACATTTATTTTTAATTTTAAAACATTGGAAATTTTATGTTAAAAATTTAAATAATAGAAAAAAGGATTTATTTAACTTTTATCATCATCAATACTACTAATTTATTTGACGTTTTTTCTTAATCTTCATCTCATCATTAATGTTATTTATATAATTTTCTTAAATCACTTATTTTTTTCTTTTTTAACTCTTTTATATTTTATTTTACTCTTATTTAGAAATGGGAGTTTGGAGGACCAACATTGCACTAAAGAGTTGGACTAAAAGCTATAGAAATTGTACATTGAGGCCCACCAAAAAGATCAACTAAAGTAACTTCATCTACTTCTACTTTTTCTACACATATTTTTCTTTAATAAAATAATTATTGCCTCCATTTTTATTTTTATTTTTAACATTTATTTTTAATTTTAAAACATTGGAAATTTTATGTTAAAAATTTAAATAATAGAAAAAATGATTTATTTAACTTTTATCATCATCAATACTACTAATTTATTTGACGTTTTTTCTTAATCTTCATCTCATCATTAATGTTATTTATATAATTTTCTTAAATCACTTATTTTTTCTTTTTTAACTCTTTTATATATATAAAAGTTAGATATGTAAATGATGATGTCACATTTCTTAGAAGCTAAGATTACTATTTATCTAATTTCTCCAAAAAAATTTTAAAAAATGAAGATATCATATGCAAATTTATGGTTAAACTTAAACTATTTGATTCTCGAAAAATAAAAAGTCTCACATAAAATGGGACAGACGAAGGATAACTCTCAATTAAATTTATTTAACTTTTTATTTTCCATTTTTAACATAATTTTTCAAGTTGGATTTCTAGGAATTCTATAGTAGACCCATTTAAATTTTACTTTTTTGTTTTAAATTAGAGAACTTGGCCGCACTTCGCGTGATCATTTAAATTAAATATTTTTGATGAATTTTATATTTACTTTGTTGTTTAATCGTAATATTATTATTTTTCTTAATAATATGAAGATTGTGAAAAAAAATAAAGCTTCACAAATTTTACATCTATTAAATGAGGAAGAATATATTTTTTATCAAATAAGTTAAAATATATTTGCTAATAACAAATTCTTCCATTGCATGAAGTTCATCCTTTAATATATAATATATATTTCGGTCTACCATTCTCCTTAAATGTCTAAGAAATATCTCATAATGTCAAATAACACTGTAGTACTCCCTCTGTCCCTAATTACTTGTCCACTTTTAAATTTACACATTTATTAAGAAATCAATTAATGACATAGTCAGTTTATCATTTTACCCCTATTAATTATGAAGTAGATGAAAAGTTCTGCAATTTTCAAAGTAATTAGTCATTTAATTGAGGGTATAATAGGTAAAAAAATATTCTTTCTTGATTTGTCAAAATGGACAAGTAATTAGAGACAACTATAAAAGGAAAAGTAAACAAGTAATTAGAGACAGAGGGAGTACTAAACAAATGCATCAACAAATGAAATTTATATTAAAAATATATTGAATAATGACGTAATGATACCTTAATAGAATTTCCTATCCATTTAAAAAAAAAAACCTTCACCCTTTCAATTTCGTTATATCTTCTTATTTAGTAGAAGAATCATCATTTATTATATTCTACTCCACCTTAATTTGTACCATCAGAGTTTTAAGAATAAACATTAAATTTTAAATCGAAATAAAAATTCATTGAAAAATGACAGAAAAAATAATAATAGTATATGAAAATTAAAATAAGGTGCAAGAAGAGCCTTTTCACGATAATTTTTTGAAATATATTGACAACAATTAAAATGAAGCTGTTATTTTATCTTTAAAATTAAGTTTGATAGAATTGAATTAGTACAATGAGAAAAAAATATTAAACTAATAACTTTTTCATGTTATTAAATGCATTTAATTTTTAATTGAGTAGTAGATTAAAAGTTCCGAATTAGGATATTAAAATAATATCTTACTCTCTCCTTAATTATTATGGTATTGCAAACATTTATTTTCCTTAAATCGTGATTCATTTTCCATTTACAATTATATCCAATTAATTTCTAATGTATTGAATGTGGTTATGCGATATTGAAATAATATCTTTATTTTTCCTTAATCATAATAAAATTATAATTTAACATTTATTTTTCTGAAATGATAATTTTGTTTTAATTCCTAGAACATGTTGTTTACTATATTGAATGTAATTATAATAAAACATATTGTATTTAGTATGACAAAAGAACTAAAAAAATGGAGAAATTAGATAAATAGTAATCTTAACTTCTAAGAAATGTCACATCATCATTTACATATCCAACTTTATATATATAAAAGAGTTAAAAAAGAAAAAATAAGTGATTAAACAAAATTATATAAATAACATTAATGATGAGATGAAGATTAAGAAAAAACGTCAAAAAAATTAGTAGTATTGATGATGATAAAAGTTAAATAAATTATTTTTTCTATTATTAAAATTTTTAACATAAAATTTTCAATCTTTTAAAATTACAAATAAATGTTTTAAAAAAAATCGAGGCAATAATTATTTTAAAGAAAAATATAACCAAAATTGTCAAAAAAAATTAATAAAAATAAATAACTAT